TCTCTCTCTCTCTCTCTCTCTCTCTCTCTCTCTCTCTCTCTCTCTCTCTCTCTCTCTCTCGCACGCGCGCGCGCGCGCTGTTTCACTTTTTCCAGTCGGTCCGCTTCAGGCGACCGGAAAGCCAACAGGCTGTCACGCAGGATTTTGTTGATGTTTGCAATAAATAAAATAAATTAAGTGATGCAAATCCCTTCCTGTTGTGTGCGTCCGGCTTCGAGCGAGACCCTTCAATTGCGGTCTTCGACGGTCCCCGGTCTTAGGAATCTTTTATTTTGATTCGGAACAGCAGAGAATCATGCAAATTGTAATCATAAAATTGTGGAGCGCTATGCATGCATCAATTATGTCAATCTGATTTTGAGAACTGTGACAGAATCATCCACAAGAGCAATCATCAAGCAAAAAAACAATGCGAGAAGCAAGACCGACTGACTCGAGTAGTGACAAAGTTAAATGAATGAGGGAAGAATGAGAACTCATAAATAGTCCCAGAGAGTACACATGTTAAGAGCATGACCAACACCAATCAAGAGTCCTCACTCGCCCCTATGAACTTAACCTCTCATTTTGTCGTCGGTCGTTTGGGCTTCTTGCCATGCCTCCGTACTCTCTGAGGTTGTGGCTTCTGAATGTAAAGCCACCTGAACCCTGCTAGTTCCGAAAACTTCCATCCAAGTCCCATGATACGGAAGTCAACCATGGCACAAAACTCCTCCCACAGCGTAGGAAGATATGGTTGAGAAAAGACCCCCCTTCTGAGATGTGGGAACTCGGAAGGTTCCGTTACTGCCTCGTAGTCGATCTGCGCTGGCGAAATATACCTCTTTGCCAGATCTATCAAGTCCCCCCAACAAGAACCATCAGTCAGAGTAAAAGGTACCGGGGTCTGGGGTAGTAGAGCTTTGGTCCGAAACTGCGGATCAGTTTAGTACCACTCTCGTCTAGCTCTCTCTCTCTCTCTTCCAGATATCCGACCGCTGCGGTCCAGACTGAGTCGAAATGCTCGAAAGTCTCTTTGCCTTTCCTCAAGTAGGGCCTCAAATCGTGGACGGCACCTCCGACGAATTCAGTGTGAACCACATAGATGGATAGGTCTTTCTGCCTGAAGCAAACTACACTGACATACCTGTATGGAAAAGCATCCTTGGAAGAGATTCTGTTGAGACTGATCAGAACAGACTCACTGACTGAGGAAACCTGCACCGTACTCATGTGTTGATGCTGAAAAGTTCAATATTTCGAGTAGAGAACACCTCTGGTTAATGCAGTCGCTGAAATTTTGCTGACTGAAACTGAGTGCTGCTGAGATTCTGCTGACCGAAACTGAGCGCTGCTGAGATTCTGCTGACTGAAACTGAGCGCTGCTTAGATGGCAGAATGT